TGGACCACCAATAGACCATCAATGGACCGCACATTTGCCAACCCTGCTTTATTGGCTATTGAAAAGGTAAACTTGTTTTCCAGAATTAGAATAAAAAAATAATGCAGATCTAATGGGGAATACGTATAAAATAGTGCGAGTGATACGACAAACATTAATTTTTGTTTGTTTTATTTTCTTTCTTATTAACAAGAACACATAAATAAGGAAATGGCTCTTCCTCCTTTTAATTTAGATGAATTGGTTCTTGTGGAAGCAACAGCAGAACAAGCAATAATGTAATTATATTATCTATCTATATATTAATAGATTAATTAATTGTTGCAATTATTATTATTAATTACTAATTTTCTCTATACTTCTACTTCTCCTACTTTACATATAACCCACCCGCCTCTGCATCTCCTGCTTACTTCATACATAACTCACCCTCTCCTCCTACTTTTCTATTACTTTATGCACAACCTTCTTTTACTTTTTCCAAGAACACAACGGAACACATATGAAGAATGGGGATACCCACAATTTACAGTAGATGAATATCTGCAAAGAGAAGTGGTATTGAAAGATCTGGATTATACACGTGAAAATTTTCAAATATGGGTATTAGTTCCAGTAAATGATACCAAAACATTACAAGTAATCGCATCATGTGAGACATTCAAAGAAAAAGCGTTATATCAATCCAAAAAACAAACTGATGATGATGGTGATGATGATTATGATATAAATGAAGTAATATATTATGGTATAGCAACAGTATTTACACCAAAAAAATATCGTAAAAATGGTTACGCGAGCAAATTGTTGTGTTTATTGCAGGAAAAACTCCAATATAAATCCAACAACAACAATGCACACTTTTCAGTTTTGTATAGCGAGGTTGGACCAAAATTTTATTCTAAACTAGGATGGAAGCTTTATCCACATTCTGATTTACATTCTGATTTAAAATTACGAGATCAATTACCGTCAAAAATTCCTTCTCAAGTGAAATTGTTGGAAGACGTGGATTCACTAAAATCCATAATAGAGTATGATTGTGATTTAGCCTTGAAAGAATTTAAACAATTAAGGACAAGTTCGGTTTTAATCTTACCAAGTTATCCATGTTATGAATGGTTGTTGAGGAGAAATGAATATCGTACAAAAATAGATGGTAAGCAACAAGCAAACATTAGAGGTGCTGTTGTAGTAAAGAATAATAAAGAAGGAAGTGAAGGAGAAGATATTTTGGGATTTATTATTTGGTGTCATGATTTCGGAGATAAGGAATTGTTAGCGTTGAGATTTCGTAGTGATGGACCAGCAACAACACGTATATTGATGAATCAAGCTAAATTGGAGGCAAAGAAATTTGATTTTAATGGTGTCATAGTATGGAATTTAGATCCTAAATTGTTCAAAAGAGATGAAGGAAAGATAGTTGAACGAGCGAGTTCACTTCCGCAATTAGCGTGGCACAATGCAGACAATAAAAATAATGAAAACTTAATTTGGTTTTTGAATGAAAAATATAGTTGGTGTTGATGTAGTGGCAAGTAGCACATAATTAATATTTATAAAAAATTTATTTTTCATTATTACTACTATTTTATTACCTCTCGGTTTATCTCAATCCTTTTTTTTGCCTTTATCGTTGTCTTAATACTATACACGTAATGTTGTAAAAAGAATGGATGTAAATGGCCTTTATATCTTAAAAAATCCATATATAAAAAACAACAACACAAATAATAATAATAATAATAACAACAACAACAACAATAAACAAATCCAACCACTCATTGATTGAATTGTACAATAATTTATATTATATTAAATTTCTTTTGTCTCCCATAAAACTCGACGATCGTTTCTTTTTAAGTAAATTAATTAATATTTTTTGGAAATAAAAGCGATGCAGAATTATTTATTTATAGATTTATCTAATTTACGCAAAGTAAGACTAATTACTTTTTTGTATAAAAGAACCGATATTCCTTTATTATTATTTCAGTTCTCTATTTTTTACACCAATCCTTTCGTTGATATATAACATATTCACTTCCCATCATTCCTTTTCACTTCTCTCAATCAATCACTCAATCAATCAATCACTCACTCTTATACCCTCTCTTCCCTCAATCTCACCCTCATACATAAAAACATATAGATACACTATTAAATAAATACATACAAAATGAAGTTTACTTCCAGATTATTTGGTACCGGTATTCTAGCAGCTTCAGCAGTTTTATTATTATTCACCGCAACATCAGTTAATGCATGTGAAGCAGATTGCCGTGACGGAATTTCTCACGCATTTGCCGACAAGTATGCTCTTGAGATTGCTCCAAAATTTGATTCGTTTAGCACTAGTGTTAACAAAAACATTTTCAAAAAATTCAACGTTACGGACTTTGTAGCCTCTAGTAAAGTCAAAAAATTAAAAGCTGGTGTTTTATCAGCTTTAACAAAAAAAATCCCAACTTTAAAAACATCATTTATAACCAGTCTCGCTCCTTTGATTCAAAGAGCAATTTTCGAACAAAAACCAAAATTCAAAGGTCAATGCCAAGTACCATTAAAAGTTACACAACCACCACCTGGTGTAGCATGGACAGAGAGTGATTGTGAAAATCAAGATTACATTTGTGGAAATCCTCCTGCTATTTGCCATTTTATGAATGCAATTGTCAAGCCACGTAACGTCAAGAATGTTATAGAATTGCTTAGTTCAAAAGAAGGTCCTTTCTTTAACACTTTAAATTCTGAAATCAAGAGAGTGACTGCCAAATTCGTTACCAACAAAAATAAATTAAATGGCCTTAATAATGCACTTGCTAAAAATCTTAAAGGGCTTTTGGCTCGTTTTGTTAAAGACTTTAAAGCAACATTCTGTAGTGGAACAACCTGTGACAAATATGATGAAGAAATCAAAAAACTTCTTTTGTCTTTCCCTTAATTAATCATCAGTTTTATAATTTAATATTTTCAATTCACTCTTTTTTTTTAAATAACAATAGCAATAAATGTTATTAGTAGGTTAATAAATAAAACAATAAAGGTCAATAATAATAATAAAGTAAATTTTTAAATACAATTGATAAACTTCTTTAAATTGTGCTATTTACTTTTTAAAAAAGTTTAATGACGACAAGTTTAAATTATTGAACAGTTCCTATATATTTATCTACCCATTATATTTATATTTATATATATATATATATATATATACAGTCGAACCCTCGTTTCAACGGACCTCGTTTCAACGGATTTTTGTTTCAACGGATTTTTGGTTTTACCCC